TACTAAATTGCATATGTATTCCTAATTGAGGAATTATGGGGGTAACTCAATTTAAAAGTTACGTTTGCTTCTATCTTATAATCAAGAACGATATCTATGAATGTAGAAAGATAGCAAACCCTTATATTAATTATAGGGATGATATATACTAAGTCTAAAGTGGATAAAATGGGTTGTAAAAGCTAATTATGGCGTTTGTTTAGACATGCAAGAACAATTGGAATATATGAAGAATATTCATTAAGTTCAAATGCATGGTAATGTTTCAATGATGATATTGAATACCCATGATTTTGAAATCCACTAGTAAAAGTGATTGACTAGTGTAGTGTTTCATAGAAATCCTCCAACCATGTTTGGAAATTGATAAAGCTAATGTGGCATATAGCTTCATGAGAAGATTTTTTGGTGACAAAAATTTGTATCTATCAAGTGAATCGATCGTTGGCTAGCTATATTTGATAAGATATTAAGTCATAAGTAATGGTAAGTCTAGACGTAATACCGTTAAGCAGTTTATTTCAATGATGTAAAGTCGTGGTACCTTTAATGAGATTTACTAAGAGAGATCAAGAATACTGCATATCAAAGGAAATGAGGTAAAGTATACTATGTTAGAGTTCTTGTAATGGTAACCCTACCTTGTTGACTGGAGGTCCCAAGATCTTGGTTCAAAGGGACAACTAAGTTATGAGGATTCCATGAAGTACTAAGGAAAATAGTTTCCTAACTCATTAGTAGATATTAAAGTGCTTTCTGCAGAGTTGTAAGAGGTTAAGATAATCTTTTAATGATTCTTATATCTTGATTAAGTCAAGTGGAGTAGGGCAGAATACTCTTAATAGAATGTCACCTATGTGAGTGTGAAGTGTAGCCATTTCAATGAGAATTATTCAAGGTTTGAATTCTCTAAACACTTGCAGAATCAAGAAGGGTTTAGGGCCAAAATGAACCAGGTCATTAGAACCATGAACGGTTTAGGGAAGACATTGTGTGAGTATCGTTGTCTTGACTTATACTAAAAGCTGAATGGTTCAAGACATCACGTTCACCAATTAGCCGAGTTAGTCCAATGGTATTTCACTAAGGGAGGTTCAAGGCCAGAAGCTACCTTCCCTGATGCAGTGTTTTTTCGCACCCTCTCTACATTGCATCATATCATTACATTTGCATATGCGTACCCAATTTCCATTCATGTGGGGGATTGTTGGAATTGGTTCAAATAATTAAATGAAAAGGTGTGTAAAAGTGAAAAAATGAAAAGGTGTGACTACGTGTCAACTTCGACCAAATATTCGGACTTAATCCGATGGTCAAATTACAAAAGTAAATAGATCAACTTATTCTACTCGTCGAGTGGATCATCATGGTATATTTGGAATCTCGAAACCAATTCCGGATGAATGAGAAATTGCGGACCAAAGTTGGAAGAAATAAAGTGTTGCAACTTTTCGAAAGGATGCAGGTTTTGGCCAAGTGTTGCAACTTTTTGAAAAGATGCATGTTTTGGCCCACACTATTTCATTTGCACCATTTCTACATCTATAAATAGAACCCTATGGACATGATTTTGGGTACACCAATTGCATTGAGCATTCATTCTCTTCTTGCAATTCTCTTATTTCTAATTCCATAGCATTTTCATGCATTTCCTTGGTAGAGAGGGAATTCCGTTCGAGTTCGTTGATCAAAGTCATTTGGAGTGCTTCTATGGCTTGGCGTGATCTTTGTATCTTGGGAGATAATTGTCGAAAAATAGTTAGTACCGATGCGGGGCAAATTCATCTTAAGAACCAAGTGTCAAACACTTGCCTCGACAAAAAATTCATCACTTGTATCTTTTTTTTCAACAGCTTTCTGATTTCTTTTGATTATATTTTGATTTCGGGAAATGATTAACATTGTTTACATGTTTATGTTGTAAGGTTCGATCAAAAGAATAATTTACTTTCGTTCAAGAATCGAAAGAAATGAATCCATATCAATGCATTCAGATTCGGTAACTTTTATGTTTTACTTCTCAAATCCTATTTCGGTAAGTCGAACTTATATTTCGATTTCACGCAAATAATCGGTATGTTTTTGTGAATATAATATGTACCTAATCGGTGTAAATTTCCCCAACAAGTGCAGCCATATATGAGTTTCGAGCTTAATTTGGCAATGTAGAGATCTCGTTTAGCAAATTTGACAATTGAATCATGAGTTGATTAACTAGGGCAACTTTTTCTCAAAAAGTGATGGGGTATTGTCAGCTGGCCAAAGGCGGTTGCTTTTGGCGGCGACAAAACTCCATCTTAACATTTGATGATTTTTCACAAGATTGTACGAATTTGATGCTGATCACGCTGGTGCGGCACGTAACTGAAATGGAGGTTTGGATCAATCGAAATTTGGAGATTTTCAACTGACTGATTGTAAATTGAAACCACCAGTATCGGCGCATCCAACTCTGGAACGGTCTGACTTTTGATCGAAAGGTCATCTCATCATGGGCAATCTCTCTGCCCGACGCGTGTTACAAGTTTAAAGTCTGTACAGGATTTAATAATTGGTGGAGGTCCAGACCTTGATTCAAAGAAAAAGGTAAGAGTTTTTTGAATCATTTGAAGGGGCCAATTTTGTTTTCGTCGATTTCAACTGTTTTAGATGCTGTTTTTCTATTGGACTTTTAATATGATGATTAGGATGTGTTGGTGATAGATTGCATCCGATAAGAGTGATGGAAACCAACGATTTGGACATGTATGGCAGGGATCTGGTGGTTTCTCCAATCTAGAGAGAAGGGAGAGCATTTGGGGGGTGTCAAAGCTAGAGTAAATGAAATCCGGATAACGATATTTGTACAAAATCTTGTCGACAAAATGGTGTACTTACTTTCACAAAATTAGCGAACCTCACGTTAATTTAAAAAAATGTCGACTTGTGGTCTCCACTCCCCTTGTGAATAGTAAGGGGGTTTATAAAAAAAAAATTTGTATATGTAGCATGATCCATGAAATCTACGTATGAATTGCAATCTATTTACCACGTCATCCGCACAATCAACATTTTTCGTGTTAAGTATTGAAAGAAATTAAATAATACTAAAAAATGAAAGAACTAACGATAAAAAATATCAATCGTTTAATATCCTTCTTTTAATGAAAAGTAAATATATTTTTTGCTCGATTTGCCACATCTATAGAGATTAGTGGAACATTACGTGAGATGATATAATGATAAATAGGAATCGAATTTGGAAGTTCAGATGGATATTTGTACATTATTCTAGTGGCGTCAAGCTAGGCAGACCCAACATGGCCCATCCAAGGTTTACACAGTAAAAGTGGCTTATGAATCGCCTTTAATCTGAGGGCTAATAGCTGAAAAATCTGGAGCAGGCCAGTTTAAGTAATCGAGCCCGACGATTAACCATCAAGTCTATGTTAACATTAAAAAAAAGAATAATGACTATTTTACCAGATGAATTTAACACAGTTGTTGACAAATTAAGCGTGTAGCAAAAATGATTGAATGATAGTGTTGACTATTTGTTAAACAATCCAATGACAGAACCATGTGACATTCTGTCATCTAAGGTGTTAAAAAATTTGGCAGCATAGCAGAACTATTAAAAAAAATAATAATAATTGAAGTTGAATTTTTAAGAATAAAGCAACGTTGCCAAAAGAAAAGTGCCCACCTAGTTAACTGACCCTCACATAATGCATGGGCCCCGCGTGAATTAAATAATGCCCGGCACCCAAGATGTGTGTGTTCGGTCATCCAAAAGTGTCAACAGTTATGCTCTTGTAGCATGACCCAATTTTTAAAAGGCTTCAACCGGTAGCCTTCTTTAAAGAAGGATGTCGTCTTATCGGCTCAGACAATGTTTCATGCCACTAAACAATGCCAAGCTTATGCTTGTTTTTACAAGCCGGCATAGCCTATAGTCCACGAACTGTCATGGGTCCATCCTTTAAAATGACTAGACCGTACCGGTTCGTTGCATGAGCATCCATTTTCACACCACTACATTACTCCAATTATTCGTTTCTCCCCAACAAATGCATGTTATCCTTTTATCTTAAATCTCAGTGGATCCCATTTGGATTTTCTCCTTAGTACTCAACCACTATTTGTCTCAATCTCACAACTTGCATTGCGTGGACAGACAGGCAATATCATTCAACATGATGATTATGAACGGGGTATGTATGCATTTATAGTGGGGTATCAATAATGGAAGGTCGATAAGTCTTGTAAGACATATGTAACTTATTAAACTAGTAAAACTATAGAAAGTTTTCTATGATGAGATTAAAATGAATAAAAGTTGGGGTTTCCAATTGAATTTAAAGAAAAAATAGGCTTTCTTTAAGATGATTTGGGTATCCATTTTGCTTCTTCCACATCGTTGATGAGTTTTCTGGCTGCTCCAACTTGTAGGCTCTTTGACGCTTATTTGAGGATCCGGAAAGACTGGCTAAAAGTCAAACAACTTTTTATAAACACATTCCATGGAATTTTAATGTATGTATTTATATGCCGCTCATTTCTATTTGTTTATGAACATAATTGTATTTAATAAACACTTGCCTAACTTGAAGCGCATTTTTATTTGAGTTTCGAGCATTTTACTTGTTTAGTCGTATCTCTTAAAGAGGATTCTTTTGGGTGGCCAATTCGATGTTTGAGTGTCCATTCGTGTCACTTTCTCATTATTCCACTTGTTTTTAGAATAATCTTGGGTCATGTTGCCTTGGGCTTTAGGTGTCCGATGAACCCTAGTGCTATGATGAAAAAAGAGAACAATGTGCATTTATTGATAAACAAGAACTTATTCAAAAGATATTATTTGACTCTAAATGTATAATTACACAAGGTATTAAAAATATCTTATTTATTCTAAGTGAATATTTTATATATTTTCGAATAGTCTATTTTTCCCACTACATATCACATCAAAACATATAATGTTAATATGATATATATTTAAGTTTTGTTTATGGCATTGATGGTTCTCAACAATACTTTGCATTTATAATGACACTTATACATGCTCAGTTGAAATGTAATATTATTGCATCACGATGTCTAAGGATATGATTTAATATATCAAAGTCCCATATTGCACGAACATGATAACTTCAACGAGAGCTCTAAATCTTGGGGCACTTTGAGAAAATAAAGCAGCCCAAAATTTCTATATATATCCTCTTTTCTGCTTAAAACTCCATTACCATCAACTAGGGGCATTATTATCAGAGAGACCTTACATGAAAAATTCTAACTCCGTCACTTATGATTATCCAGTCGATCCATTGCCATTCGCAGGTGGTCGTGGTTGCATGTGATTCTGCTGTGATGTGTGGGAGCCAAAGTTGAACATGGTCATAGGCTGCAAAAAAGTAGCATATAATGAGACAAGTAGAAGTATAGATTCCATTTCGTCTTTTAATTTAATTTTCGGAGTGGGATTGGTGGAATCTACCACAAGATGAAAAATCGATATACCAACCAAAGTGTTGTGTTTTTGGCCACTACATGAAAAACTTAAGGGCATTTGGTAATAATATAAAGGGTGGTGCAATTTAAGTAGATCATGTCAAAAGGAGTGGAATAAAAAATTGTGGTTGAAATCTAACTTATTCCCCGTTTGGCGCCCATTAAATTCTATTTTATTTTTATTTTTCCTATTTTCAATCACACAATCTTCCATAAAAAATAAAATAAAACCTATTCCACCCATTTTCATTTAAAAAAATGGGGGCCAAACGGGGGCTAAATGTTAAGTACGCACAAGTGAAGAACTAGAAAGTTTAATGAACAAAATTTAATTTTTTTTCCCTTTTAATATTATCTAATACTATCTAGGACTTGTTTGCGCCTCAATTTTTGGGTAAAATATATTTTATAATAATGATTTTTGGAAAATATATGGTTAAAAAGAATGTAAAATTTTTGAGTTCACGTCTAAAATTATTTTATAGGAAGAATGTGTGATTAAAAACGAATTTAGAAAAGAATAAATTTTTGTATAAAGGAGCTCAAACAGGGTCCCATTCCTTCCTACTAGTGGCGTAGGGAGACTGTCCCCAAACCCATTTTACTTTTGATTTAAAAAAGTCTTTGTTTGGAAATTCTTTTCTTTCTATGTATCAGCCTATTAGACAAAAAATTTTGCCCAATATATTCATGATTGAATAAACATAAAGATTACATAGGACGATTATTTTTCTAATTTTCTTTCCTCTTTATGAACCTTAGAAAACAACAATATTCATGAAGTAATGGAAAATGGGGAGGAAAATACCTGGAAGCCATTTTGGAGTTGATGGAAGGCCATGTAATTGGCATATTGATCATGAAATTTTGGATTTTGCATTTGGTTTTGATAATTAACTGGATTCAACACAGGATTTTGATGAATTGCAGCCTGGTTTTGCATATTGATTTGTTGATCAACTTGCATTGGCATCCTCAGTAAATGCATAGGGACATTGTGGATTGAAGGAACAATCCCCATTCCCATTCCCATTCCCATTCTTGACATGTATTGTTGCACACTTGGAAATATCATTGGTGCCATTCCACTTCCCATCCACATCATCTGATAACATACATATCGAATTCTCAAGTTATTTATTTTCAGTCTTAGTAACTCTTATTTTACTGCGAAATAAGTAAAATTTTTATGGTCAATTTCATCTGTAGTCACCGAACTTTCAAAATAATATTAATTGGGTCACTTAACTTGAATTTTTCCAAATTGGGTGACTAATATCAATTTAGAATCATTTGGTCATTAGTTTCAAAATTTTCCGGTCCATCACTTGTCTTTTCCTAATTTGATGACAATTACTTAAGTGGTGGTCATACCACAATGGGTCTTGCACGTAATCGTTGCATGGCATGCCAATTTACCACTACGTCATGCATAAAACTATTAAAAAATACCTTTTGCCATTTTCGTTTCTAGGGTTCCATGTAGCTATTCAATAGACGATTAGTGATGGTAGGGTTGCGAACTAATTTATTTATGTCATTTTGTGGATGATAGGAGATGGAGCATGATAGAGTGATTATATTTGAAAATAAATTAAAGTTGAGTGATCCAATTGAAATTTCGCTGAAAGTATGAAATTAATCCTGAAATGTAAGATTCTAAAAAAAAAGGTTGAACCCCAACCTTAAGGGTCCCCCACCGCCCCTACCCTAGAGTATCGTGAGGGAGGTAAATCGCAGGTTATGCCTCCAAGGGTACAGGGTAAAAGGCTGCTTATAGACTTGCACTTACCCAAGAGTCAAATCCATATTTCAAGATTCGAACCCTTGACGCGACAGCCTCAAGCAAAACTGAATTTCTCCACCCTCTCCTATACCACTTGGAGATGTGCCCTGCGGGCAATGTAAGATTCTAATTCATACCTGAACTTGTAATTGCAGTGACTTCATATATTCAATTGCCTCATCTAACATGGATGCTTTATCTGACTGAAAATAAGGAAACGAAGTTAAAACATGAAAGATCTATTGACATAAATAGAATGATATGACATTCAGTTGAAGTATTGAATAGTACTATACATACTAAGAAAAAAAAGGAAGCTTAAGATCTTGTTTGTTACATTGTTTAGTTTTGTCCAATGCAAACGGCCCAAAAATACGTTGAAACCCTCCAAGCCTTTATTTGGTGGGGATTAAAATCAATATTTTAGCAGATTTTGATAAAAGTTGATGAAATATGGGATTGAAAAATTGTAAATCCTATAAATAAGTGGTTAAATTAATGTTGAATTTGACTTGAGATTAAGCCCCTGTTTGACTCCCATTCTTTTCAAATTTCAATGGCTGGAATAATATTTTTTTGGAAAATGTGTGGTTGAAAAAGAATAAAAAAAATT